GCCAATTCCAAGAATTCAGGACCTTATGGATGGTCTTGGTGGAAACACCATGTTCTCTCTGCTTGACCAGGGAAAGGCATACCACCAGGGGTTTGTGGCAAAAGACAGTAAACATTTGACCGCTTTTGTCACCCCCTGGGGGTTATATGAATGGAATAGGATCCCATTTGGGCTAATGAATGCACCAGCGGCCTTCCAACGCTGCATGGAAGAGTGCCTTGAAGGGCTTCGTGACAAAATATGCGTCCCATATTTGGATGATACACTCGTGTTCAGTAAAACATTTGAAAGTCATGTCAGTGATGTTCGAAAAGTTTTGCAAAGACTCAGACAACATGGAATAAAATTAAAACCCAGCAAATGTGAGCTGTTTAAGACTGAAATCCGCTATCTTGGAAGAATAGTATCAGCAGAGGGAAATAAAATAGATCCTTCGGATACTGCAGCGGTCCGTGTTTTAAAAGATAAAGAACCAAAAACTGTTGGTGAATTGAGGCAAATTTTAGGACTTCTAAGCTACTACCGTCAGTACATTAGAGACTTTTCCCGCATTGCTGCCCCTCTGTATGATCTGACCAAAGGGCCAGGTAAAGACCAGAGCCGACCACCCTGTAAAGGGAAAAAATCACAAAGCTACACTGAGATAAAAGTAGTGCCATCCCACACTCCAATTGAGTGGACAGAAGGCCATCAACAAATTCTTGAGAAGCTGATTGATTGTTTGATTCACCCACCTATTCTGGCATTTCCAGATTTCTCTCTCCCATTTGTTGTTCATACAGACGCTTCCAGCAAAGGCCTTGGGGCTGTACTGTATCAGAAACAAAATGGAAAGTTACGTGTCATCGCATACGGATCCCGGACTCTGTCAGCACCAGAAAAAAACTACAATCTCCATTCAGGCAAATTGGAATTTCTTGCTCTTAAATGGGCCATCACAGAAAAATTTCGCGACTATTTGTATTATGCCCCATTTTTCACAGTTTACAGCGACAACAACCCATTAACTTATGTGTTGTCAACTGCTAAGCTAAATGCTACAGGGAGTAGATGGGTTGCGGAGCTTGCTGATTTTAACTTCACAGTGAAGTATCGGCCAGGCAGAGAAAACATTGACGCTGATAGTTTGTCCCGGATGCCATTGGATGTGGAAAACTTGATGGCTGAGTGCACAGAAGAGATGTCTTATGATGTTGTAGGAGCAACTGCTTTGGCAGTGGAGACACAGTCAGAGTCGCACGCCTCCTGGTCAATGCCAATTTCTATTCACAGTTTGGTTGACACACAGGAATGTTCTCCGTCAATAACACAGGCAAATATACGGTTAGGTCAACAAAATGACACTCATATCAGAGTTTTGTTGCAGTCCAAGATGTCTGGAGTGAAACCTTCCCGCCAAGAACTAGACCGGCTTGGCCCTCAAACTAGGTGTTTATTCAGGGAATGGGACAGATTGGAACCAGATGAACATGGTGTACTTTGGAGAAAGACAGTCCGCAGGAAGCAGTTAGTTCCTCCAGAACAACACAAAGCACAGGTCCTAAATGAGCTGCATGACCAGATGGGTCATCAGGGTACTGATAGGACAACAAGCTTGATCAGAGATAGATTTTTCTGGCCCTACATGCAACGTGAAATAGAACAGTATGTGATGAAATGTACATGTTTGAAACAAAAGAAACCTAGCAGAGAAACAAGAGCTCCTCTTTCGAACATTGTTACCACACAGCCTTTTGAACTTGTGTCAGTGGATTTTCTACACCTAGAGAGGTGTAAAGGTGGTTATGAATACATACTAGTGATTGTAGATCATTTTACACGATTCGCCCAGGCCTACCCCACCACATCAAAATCTGGAAAAACAGTAGCAGACAAGATTTTCAATGACTATGCTCTGAAGTTTGGGTTTCCAGCACGTATCCACCACGACCAAGGGGGGGAGTTTGAGAATCAACTTTTCAGTCAACTCTCCAAATACTGCAGCATGGCAGGATCAAAAACATCACCATACCACCCTCAGGGGAATGGCCAAGTCGAGCGGTTTAATCGGACATTGATTCAGATGCTCAAGACCCTCACTGAGAAAGACAAGACAAACTGGAAAGACTCTTTGAATAAGCTTGTCTTTGCCTATAACTGTACACGCACAGAGGTGACAGGCTTTTCACCATTTTACCTGTTATTCGGCCGCTCCCCAAGACTGCCTATTGATGTGTTGTTCAGCTTACCAACAGAAACAGGAAGCCATGATCACCATGCTTATGTCGAACAGTGGAAGCAGGGAATGCAACAGGCTTACACGATTGCAAAGGAAAACGCACAGAAAGCTGCTCAAAGTAACAAAAGGATCTACGACACTAAAGTGAGGAGCTCGGTGTTGTCCCCAGGTGACCGGGTGTTAGTGAGGAATTTGACTCCTCGTGGTGGTCCTGGAAAACTTAGGAATTACTGGGAGGACAGCATATACACTGTGGTTCGACAGGTGGGAAACGATATCCCTGTGTATGAACTGAGACCAGAAAGTGGGAAAGGCAGAGCTAGGATACTTCACAGGAATCACATCTTGCCTTGCGATCACCTACCATTGGAAGGTAGGATGCCCACATCTGCAAAATCTAAGAAAAAAACTACAGCAAAGGAGGACGCCATGGAGGAATCGGAGGATGACGATGATGAAGATGGTTACTATCTCATTCATTCTCCGTTTCTCTCATCAACTCAGCCTATTCAATCTACAGATGATCCCATTGGAGCCGCACCAGATACACCTGAATCAGAACCACTGGACTACGCAGTGGGACCTCACCAGTCTGAGTGGAAAGATGAACTGCATCCCGACACTCAACACATTCAGATTGAAAACTTACCTGATGATCAAGTAGAGGCACCAATGGCTCCGCCTGATCATACTTCTGACTGTGAAACGGAAATAAGATTGCAGCGACCACAAAGACTGCGTCGGCCCCCAAAGACATTGAGGTATGACAAACTTGGTTCTCCGTCATGCTACAGTCTTGCTGCACTCTCCCCTTATGTGAGACCCCCAGCCTGGATGCACCCACAGCTATATGGCAATCAGCATCTTTTGTGTATGGGCTGGGATATAAGACAAATATATGGACATTTACCACAAAATGCGGGTGTAACAGAAAACAATGAGTTTGTACTGATGTCAGGCATTTGACTTAAGGACGTTATGAACTTGAATGTAGGCCCCATAGCAAACGCTGTAGCCAGTTTATTTGTATGGAAACATGAAATGTTTTTTCTTTTTCTTTTTTTTTGAATATTCCTACTGGTGACAAGTCGTGGCTGTAAAGATTGTATTGTCCGCCAGTCTAATTTTGTCAGAACTTTGTTCCACTTGTTTGTGTTTATTTCCACGTATAGAGACCCTAGGATGTTGAGGACAACATCTAACTGTGAGGGGGAGTATGTGATGGGTTGAAATGTTCTAATTACTGTTTACTGTGTTTACCAGTATGTGTGATTTAATGAATAATAAGAAACGGGTTCATTATTGTTTACATTTGCATTGTTTGTCAGTACTTTTTCCGTTATGCATCTTAAACTTCATTGCAATTTAGTCGTTGTATTTACGAAGTGTGGCCACCGGAGGGAGTCTAGCGCTAGTGAGCCTGAGAAGAGAGCACGACCCTCCTGGCTCATTCAATACACGTTTGAGCAGAGGGAATAACGTGTCCGTGTTTCTTTTATCATTCACTCCCCTTTTCAGGGGATTTACATTGACAGTGAGCTGCGCTGAGCTCAGTGTCAAGCTCAGATGGGAATAATTTCTTAAGTGATTTAGCTACATCTGCGCGAAACGAATAAAGTGTCAGTTCGTCTGCATGCGTCGGGGTAATTCTTTCTATTCTTTCTCCGTCAAAATAAACGGTTAAATACGGGAACTGTCCAGTCAACACAAGCCCTGATTTTAACTGTTCTGTTTTCTTGTGAAAATTGTTGCAAAGAGATATAATTTAACTTGATTAACACCAGAGCCAGGCGCACTGCACCGTTGTCTCCGTCACTGTAAATGAGGGAAAAACAAAATGATCGGATCCTTTTCCGACCTTCCCCACCTACAAAGTTTAATTACAACAATCAAACGTGACAGAGCCTGGATTTGTATTATGAACATTCTAAACATGTTTTAAAAAGAAACGTGTGACAAAAGTGGCACCGGCGCAGTAAAACCACCAACAGGGTGAAAAATATCAAAATATTGTAGGCTCCAACTTCTGGATCCACTTTATATAAATCGTTTTATTGATTATCGTCTTATGAAAGATAACTTTGACGTACACGAGCGACCGGTACCGGCTGCTGTCACCTGTTGTGAGCAGCGCTCTGCTGTCTGAGGGTAGGCCCCGCCCACAACGCCGCGGCTGCTGCGGTGTTTTCTTTACTGTGGGAAACGGGTAATAATGGCTCTTTGATGGGAACAGGTTGCCGACTCCTGGTCTATGTCTATGCAGGACAATAAAGTTTTGAGGTTTTATAATTACTTCTGGGGGCAGAGTTGCAATGACATGCGCACTGCGTTGCCCTAGCGCCAATTTAAAACAGAAAAGGCGGACAGGGATACAGGGCCAAAATTACCAGTAATCAAAGATGTACCCATTATATTTAAATCGGATGTCTGGGCTAATTTCTGTTTTGGGATCCTGGATGTGAAAGAACCACTTAACACAGTATTTGTTTACTATTTTTAAGTTCAGTAATATTCAATCTTAAAGCTGCTCTACCAAAAACATTATTTCTTATATTATTTAAGTAATTATAGGCAGCACACCTTAAACATTATTGCTCACTATAGTGAATAGATGAATGTTCTGTTTTTCAGGGATTTCGAAATCAAAAAGAAATTGAAAACAATTCTACTGCTTTTATCAAGTAATGAAAATTTTTGTGTGAAGAATCGTGATGCATTTCAGACTCAAATCGAATCGTTAGGCAAATAATCGGAATCGGATCGAATCGTGAGGCAGGTAGAGATGCACACCACTACTGTACAGTCTCTCATGGCTGACATCATCACAGAAACACCAACTCCTGGAAACATCACAGGAAACTCCACATCTGCTGCTGCTCACGTGGTCATGGTGATCAGCTGGTTGACTTTCTGGCTCGGGCTGTCCGCCATCGGACTGGCCCTCTACATCCTCAGGAATCTATCCAAAGGTGACACGTCACTGATCCACAGTCACTCTTCTGGTCAAAGCTTACTGTAGTTCAGAGACCAGCTTTCATTCACGTTTGCCGTTTACAGGAGGAATATGATGCTATGCTTTTTACTGACAAAAAACACAAAAATATTTGTCTTTATTTTTTCAAAACTTAAATAACAGTAATAGATATAAAAGCTGAAATCCTAAAACTGCAGCATTTACACAAGTGAATGTACCAACTACTGTGAGGGTGTTCCCATCACTAACTTCCAACCCTGTGCTCTTCATCCAGGAGAGAGTAAAGTTCCCGTGCATGTCATCTTCCTCCTGGTGTCTGACGTCATCAGCTTCTTCAGCTGTCCCAGAGTGACTCAGGACACACAAAATAACACCATCCTCTCCTCCAGTGGCGTAGACTTCCTCTTTTACTTTGGTGTAGTCTCTAACATCACCCTGATGGTGTTCATTGCTCAGGAGCACCACCTCCTGGTGGCCTATCCTAAGTGCCATGGCTGCTGCACCCGCATCAGGCTGTCTCCTGCAGTAACCTTTCTGGCATGGGCTGCTCCGTTTGCAATGCTCGCCCTTGCTGTTCCGCATTATAACTTTTGGTTTGCTGTGTGTTTTCTAGCTCCTTTTCCTTTTCTCCTGTTTCTTGCTGTGGATTCTTGGCGAGCCCTCCACTGCTCACGATCCAATCCCCCAACCCCTGAGAGGAGGACAGCGTGGGGAATCGGTGCAATCTGGGCCAACTACACATTCCTGTATTCACCCTTTATCCTCAGCATCCTGTTGGAGGCTCTGTCCTTTACAGACCAGGTGTACTACCTGGGACTGGTGTCTCACCTGCTGCTCTACCTCAGCCCTCTGGTGGATCCCTTCCTTTATATATTCATGACCAAAGGTCCAAAAGAGGTTCTGCTGGTGTTACCCTGCTGTCAGAACTCAAGAAAGAAAGTGTGGGCAATTTCTGTTATTCTTAAAGAAAAGAGTCGGAGAGAGTTTTTTCAGTCGAGACAGCGTGGTCTTTTATTTGTCTTCTCACATCTCAGGACAGCCGAAAGACCCTGACAAAAGAGTGGTTCCCCTTTTTATAGCTCACAGCCTTTGAACATTCATTAGTCAACCGGCGAGAACCAGACCATATTTGGTAGCACATCTCTTCTGTGGAAACTGTGGGCGGAGACTTCTGTCTGGGACACAGCAACACTTTTGGAATCACATCAAGTATTTAGCAAGTCAGATAAGCTTTAAGCAATTTTCCTGGAAGCAAGCAGAGACCAAAACAGGAAATTCCTTCGGAGCTGATGTTGGAACAGCACACGAACTCTAGCCAGAAAACACTTTCAACCTAAGAACTCAGCTTTAACTCAATACATTTTGTAGATGACCTCTTGACCTTTCTGGCGCCAACAGTCCTCCCTTTGGTGGACAAGAACCCTCTGTGGAAACGGTGGCAGAATCTGTAGAGACAAGGCTTTAAAGAAATTAGCAGATATGCAGCACATACACTTGGAGAAAAGGAAGAAATGTAATAATACAAAAGTAAAGGTATACACATGGGCTGTATGCTATTATTTTAACCTTTCAACAATTAGACTTACAAAAAAAAATTATAGAAAATTGAGTTTCGTAAAAAATAAAGCAGCCTAATGGACAGACATACTAATGTACGTTTGGGTATTGCACAAGTATTGCACACCCACTGCACTGATGTAAGTGTGTAAAAGGAAAATGCCAGTAAGTGTTAAACTGTGGCGTAAACGATGTAAGACCCATTATTCATCATACACTGGTGAAATTAGAGCTCTGCATTGGCCCGTTCCCTGGGGGAGCAGTGAGCAGCAGACACAACTGCGCGCTTGCACTATTTGGTGGTTTGACCCCCTAGTTGAACTCCTTAATGGTGAGTATCAAGCGAGGAGGCATTGGGTCCCATTTTTAACTCAACTCAGGTCAACTTTACTTTATTTCTATAGCACATTTACACAATTCTCATTGATCAAAGTGCTGCACACAAACACCAAATTAAAGAACAATATTATAGTACAAAAACATCGTCTCGTCTCGTCTTCCTCCGCTTATCCGGGTCCGGGTCGCGGGGGCAGCATCCCAATTAGGGAGCTCCAGGCCGTCCTCTCCCCGGCCTTGTCCACCAGCTCCTCCAGCAGGACCCCAAGGCGTTCCCGGACCAGATTGGAGATGTAACCTCTCCAACGTGTCCTGGGTCGACCCGGGGGCCTTCTGCCGGCAGGACATGCCCGAAACACCTCCCCGGGGAGGCGTCCAGGAGGCATCCTGACCAGATGCCCAAACCACCTCAACTGGCTCCTTTCGATCCGGAGGAGCAGCGGTTCTACTCCGAGTCCCTCCCGAATGTCCGAGCTCCTCACCCTATCTCTAAGGCTGAGCCCGGCCACCCTACGGAGGAATCTCATTTCGGCCGCTTGTATCCGCGATCTCGTTCTTTCGGTCATTACCCAAAGCTCATGACCATAGGTGAGGATTGGGACGTAGATCGACCGGTAAATCGAGAGCCTGGCTTTCTGGCTCAGCTCCCTCTTCCCCACGACAGATCGGCTCAGCGTCCGCATCACTGCAGACGCCGAACCAATCCGCCTGTCGATCTCCCGATCCCTCCTACCCTCACTCGTGAACAAGACCCCGAAATACTTAAACTCCTCCACTTGAGGTAGGACCTCTCCCCCGACCCGGAGGTGGCAAGCCACCCTTTTCCGGTCGAGAACCATGGTCTCAGATTTGGAGGTGCTGATCCTCATCCCAGCCGCTTCACATTCGGCCGCGAACCTACCCAGCAAGAGCTGAAGGTCAGAGCTGGATGAAGCTAGGAGGACCACATCATCCGCAAAAAGCAGAGACGAGATTCTCCTGCCACCAAACTCGACACACTCCACACCACGGCTGCGCCTAGAAATTCTGTCCATAAAAGTGATGAACAGAACCGGTGACAAAGGGCAGCCCTGGCGGAGTCCAACCCTCACTGGGAACAGGTCCGACTTACTACCGGCTACAAAAACATGAAAACAGTAAAAATAAACCAGAAGTAAAAGCCTGAGAATATAAATGAGACTTTAAAAGAATTTTAAAATGAATAACTGAGGAGGGTTGCCTAGTAAAAAGAGGAAGCTGGTTCCACAATCTGGGAGCCACTGCTGAAAATGCGATCCTCTGCACACAAATCGTGTCCTCCTTAGAAGGAGCATAAGGTTGCAATAAAGCCCTTAAGTAAGGTGGACCCTGGCCAGGCAACATTTTGTATGTTAGTAAAAGGATCTTAAAATCTATTCTAAAATGAAACAGGAAGCCAATGCAGTGCAGCAAGGACAGGGGTGATATGTGTTTCTCTGTGATGTCTTGGCCCCGTCCCAGTTGCTTAAGACATCCCCTTCAGATTTGGCTTTTTAGAGTCCACATCCAGAAGGCTGGAACCGTGTTTCACTGACACAGGCTGTCAGACTAAAGCCCTGATGAGCTCAGCTGGGGCAAACTCTGGTCTGATGTTTAGGTAAGTGAAAATTTGGTTCTCCAATGCCTTAAAATGTTAATAAAAATAATTTAGCCAGCAAACTTGTCCAGCTTCCTAATGTTACTTTTATTCTCCTCAAAGGAACACAGAATGCTCGGATGTTGGAGCTTCATGTGACCTACTGAGAAAGGAGTCCCACCAATAAAGAGACGGTGTCTGGATCAGACCAAAGTGAGTGATGACACTTTAACCCTACACCTCAGACTCTAGGAAAGCCACCCTCATCATCATTAAGAACACCTCACCCCTGAACGTCTCCATCTGATGGCAGCAGAGTGATTTGTTTTATTTTTTACTGGTTTAGTCTTAACGCAGTTTGGAATATTTTATTGAATTACATTATTTTCTTCAAATAACCATCTGATCTTAATGCGTACCTGATTCTGGACATGTACCTGATTCTAGACACGTACCTGATTCTGGGCGCGTACCTGATTCTGGATGTGTACCTGATTCTGGACGTGTAACTGATTCTGGACGCGTACCTGATTCTGGACGTGTACCTGACTCTGGACGCGTACCTGATTCTGGACGCGTACCTGATTCTGGATGCGTACCTGATTCTGGATGCGTACCTGATTCTGGATGTGTACCTGATTCTGGATGTGTACCTGATTCTGGACGCGTACCTGATTCTGGACGCGTACCTGATTCTGGACGTGTACCTGATTCTGGACGTGTACCTGATTCTGGACGTGTACCTGATTCTGGATGTGTACCTGATTCTGGATGCGTACCTGATTCTGGATGTGTACCTGATTCTGGACGTGTACCTGATTCTGGACGTGTACCTGATTCTGGACGTGTACCTGATTCTGGATGTGTACCTGATTCTGGACGTTTACAGAATAACTTTCCCCAAGTTCAGCAGCAGCTAACCTATAATAACAGCTGCAGCCTTCAGTAAGTCTGTCTGCACTGCTCTCTAATATACTTCCTTTCATAAGGAATCATTTATATCAGGGGTGTCAAACTCAAACTCAAACGGGGCCGAAATGAAACTCTGGGACGGAGTCAAGGGCCAAACTTAATATTTTTTGAAAAAGTGACGGCAAATTTGCACATTTTCTTTATCAACATACAGGTGCTGGCCAGTAAATTAGAATATCATCAAAAGGTTGAAAATATTTCAGTAATTCCATTCAAAACGTGAAACTTGTACATTATATTCATGCAATGCACACAGACCAATGTATTTCCGATGTTTATTACGTTTACTTTTGATATTTATAGGTGACAACCAATGAAAACATCAAATCTGGTATCTCAGAAAATTAGAATATTCTAAAGGCCAATGAAAAAATGTTTGTTTCTCTAATGTTGGCCAACTGAAAAGAATGAACATGAAAAGAATGTGCATGTATAGCACTCAATACTTAGTCGGGGCTCCTTTTGCCTCAATAACTGCAGTAATGCGGCGTGGCATGGACTCGATCAGTCTGTGGCACTGCTCAGGTGTTATGAGAGCCCAGGTTGCTCTGATAGTCGTCTTCAGCTCCTCTGCATTGTTGGGTCTAGCGTATTGCATCCTCCGCTTCACAATACCCCATAGATTTTCTATGGGGTTAAGGTCAGGCGAGTTTGCTGGCCAATCAAGGACAGGGATACCATGGTCCTTGAACCAGGTGCTGGTGGTTTTGGCACTGTGTGCAGGTGCCAAGTCCTGTTGAAAGGTGAAGTCTGCATCCCCATAAGTTGGTCAGCAGCAGGAAGCATGAAGTGCTCTAAAACTTCCTGGTAGACGGCTGCATTGACCCTGGACCTCAGGAAACAGAGTGGGCCAACACCGGCAGATGACATGGCACCCCACACCATCACTGACGGTGGAAACTTTACACTGGACCTCATGCAACGTGGATTCTGTGCTTCTCCGCTCTTCCTCCAGACTCTGGGTCCTTGATTTCCAAAGGAAATGCAGAACTTGCTTTCATCAGAAAACATAACTTTGGACCACTCAGCATCAGTCCAGTCCTTTTTGTCCTTGGCCCAGGCGAGACGCTTCTTGCGCTGTTTCTTGTTCAAGAGTGGCTTGACACACGGAATGCGACACCTGAATCCCATGTCTTTCATGAGTCTCCTCGTGGTGGTTCTTGAAGCGCTGACTCCAGCTGCAGTCCACTCTTTGTGGATCTCCCCCACATTTTTGAATGGGTTTGTCGTCACAATTCTCTGCAGGGTGCGGTTATCCCTAGAGCTTGTACACTTTTTTCTACCACATTTTTTCCGTCCCTTCGCCTGTCTGTTAATGTGCTTGGACACAGAGCTCTGCGAACAGCCAGCTTCTTTAGCAATCACCTTTTGTGTCTTGCCCTCCTTGTGCAAGGTGTCAATGATTGTCTTTTGGACAGCTGTTAAGTCAGAAGTCTTCCCCATGATTGTGGTGCCTTCAAAACAAGACTGAGGGACCTTTTAAAGGCCTTTGCAGGTGTTTTGAGTAAATCAGCTGATTAGAGTGGCAGCAGGTGTCTTCTATATTCAGCCTTTTCAGAATATTCTAATTTTTTGAGATACCAAATTTGGAGTTTTCATTAGTTGTCACTTATGAATATCAAATTTAAATGTAATGAACATTGGAAATACATTGGTCTGTGTGCATTGCATGAATATAATGTACAAGTTTCACGTTTTGAATGGAATTACTGAAATATTTTCAACCTTTTGATGATATTCTAATTTACTGGCCAGCACCTGTATATGCAATTTTGAACCTTTAAATTTGGAAACAAACATTTCTGCATTAACACTGAATGTGGAATAACCAAATTACACACGAGCAAGTCAGTTTTAAATAAAAGGCATCAGTGGTATTCATTACTTGTGGTATAATCAGCATTTTTAAAATCTTTTAAATCTTTTCTCACGGGCCAACAACAAAATAAAAATATCATTTTATCTTAAATGAAAATGCAACATCTCACCTGTTAACTTTCATGTTTTGGAGCAGAAAAAGAGCATAAAACCAACATATTTAAAGCTCAGTGTGCTCCACTGGTTTACTGTGATGCTCACCTGTTCCAGCCAGATACCTGCATCATGGGGTTGATCTGAGCTGAGGAGGAGACTCCTGTTGTTTTGTTCATCTTCATCATAATAATGACAACATTAGATGACAACAGGTGCTCACATAGGTTTGTGCTGATGAACATGTCTGAGCAGCTTGACCACGTTGTTGTGTGTCGGGGAGGAAACACGACAGCAACCACAGAGCCGTGCTGGTTTGAGCGTGTCGCTGCTCGCTGGAGTTATATCAGCTCTGTCTGGACGTTAGTTGGAAAACTTTCTCTTTCAGTCGTGAACACATTACTGAGCGGCTAGAATCTCCGTTTCTGGGCTTCAACGTCAGAAAACAGCTGAGTGAACTCGGCGCTGAGTGAGAGGAGTGTGTAGTTTGTCCGAGACAGCGGAGCTGCAGAGACCGGCAGCAGGCGCTGGAAAAAACACAAAGGAGGGGGCGCGTCGGCTCCGCGCTGACGCCGCAAAGCATCATGGGAGTTGTAGTCTTT